AATTAAATAATGTAGGATACTAAATATATACAGAAAATAAGGCAACATTTTAACATTAATAAAAGGCAATGATAAATATTATTGAAAAAGAATGTAGATACCCTTTACTTAGTTAAACAAAATCTTTTCCTTCATGCTGTAAGGTCCTTAAAATAGTTCCATTCTTTTTAAGAATTTGAAGAAATTTCTTTCCTAATTATTTAAAATCCCTCTAGGTACTCTTAAGCCCACTGTGCCACCTTGGGGTGTTAGAGTGTAGCAGTTTTCACCGTAAGTAGCAAATGGAGCGAAGTGGACCCAGCACGCGATGAGGACGTGGATGGGTGGTTGTGAGAGAAAAAGAAACCACAGTCGGACCACGACAGCGACCAGCCGTAAACGCTGCATTTTTATTGCAAAGTCTTACAAAATTTTAGATACTGTTCACAGGTTCCAGATGGGCGGCAAAGTGCTGGCCAGAAACATTATATAAAACATGGTCGAGGGCACTTAGCCAGAAGCCACGTGTTGACTTACGAAAGCACCACCTGGGGCGTCCACCAGAAGCTACCTGGGCGTCTTAGTCTCGAGATAGTCACGCAATTAGACGATAAAATGAAATATAATTTAACCAACATGAAAAAAGCAAAATTGTTGGATTAAAAATCTTCCTAATGGTAATCTCAGTTCCATAATTTAAGGTGGATGTGCGTCGAATGTGGAGCTCTCTTGTGTGCTGTGTTTGTTGTCATTTCACTTGTGTGATTGTTGCTCGTTGCTCGGCCTGCGAGTGTTCAAGGCTTCAAAGTCGCATTTCTCACTCTTGAAACAATGTCAAGTCGTTGACAACGTCCTGAAGTGTTCACCTACGCCTTTGCCCCCCATCCACCTGCTCTGGGCCAGGGCCACGCCGAGAAACTCAACGATGCTAATGGTATTTGCATGTTGTTTCTGTTGCTCGTACGAATGCACTGCGAGAACTTATGGGTTCTAAACTTGGCAGAATTTGTAATAATTTCTTTAAAATATATTTGAAAATAAAAACACAACAGAAAAGTGCCTCAAGAAAGAGTTCAGGAGGTAAAACCATGAAGAAAAATGCTCTTAAAATGATTAACCTTTCACTGGACCTTTCAGTGATGAAAGATGTTCCCATATATTAATTAAAAATGAAGGAATTAATTTCCTATTTACTTAAAATACATTTTATATCAATTTATGAATCTAAGATTATTAAATTATTTTTTTAAGAGATCTACCTTGATGTTTACCCTGCACATATTTAATTTCCCAGCCACTTAGCCTAAGTACACTTCCTTTAAGAAAGTAATTTAGATTTAGATTATCTTGATCCTTGCAGAAGAACCTTTGTTAAGTAAAATAGCTATATTTGTTGAAATTTTGATTTTAAGTGCAAACCTCCCAGCCAGGACCTCCCTAGCTTGCCTTTTCCCCAGTCACGCGCGGGCGAGGACACAAAGTGAGTGCCGGGGAGGCCAGCAGTGGGGATTGGGGCAAGCGGCAGTGGCAAGCACTTTTGGCCAGATGCAAATACGCGTGAGTGGCGCCTGGGTCAACTTTTGACTAGGACCGAGTCCGGGGCTATAAGGGAGGTCCTTGAAATGGGTCTTGGCAGGCTTGGGTCCACGGGCCTGGGTCGTGTTGTTTGTGGCGTTTAACGACCTTTTAAATGTGCGTCTAATTATGTTTACGTGCTGTCCCGGGCGACACCCTTAAACCCAAAAACCCAAGAACGGATGGCTAAATTGCCAGGCGAATGGCAAATGGCGACTGGCGAATGCCGAATGGTAAGCTGACTAGGTGGGCTTTTGGCAAATCCATTTGCTCACAGAACTTGTTAATAATGCGAGTTTACGGTCACTCGGCGTCCCAACGTGACCTGTCCCCGGCGAAAGTATTGTTTTAATTTTTAATTGGATGTGGACCCAAGTGGACAAGCAACATGACCGTTATTGGCATCCTGTTTCTTTAACTTGAAAATCAACTGATGGCAGTACCCTTTTTCCCAAACTTTTCTTATGATTTATTAATTGGTATTTTTTAATTGCTGTCTTTGAAGAGTTTTTAGATAAATCTTATTAGCTTTGGTTGGGTAATCACTTCTTATAAAGAAAAAGGTGGTTAGGTTTTCTGAATATTAATCAAATTATGAGTTTAAAAGGCTCCTGTCTTTAACTGATGAACTAAACAAAGCGCAATCCAATAACATCAGAGTGATCCAAAGTCCTTCAACCCTCTTGGCATTTCACCTTAACCTCGTTAGTGCTGACCCCTGACCTTCACTGTTTGCAGCCGGCCTCGGGCGGGATATTAATTTCTTATCTTGAAAGCGGCCCTGCCCCGGCGGCTGGACTTCTTCCCTCCATATGGCAATGCATTTTAAAATAATTTCGCATATTGCCACGCTGGTTAAATTAATAATCTGCATATGGGGCGAGAGTTCTTTGGGAGAGTACAAAGGAAAACTCGGTTGAATTATTCATAAATTGAGGCTGGGCCAAGGCGGGATATTGCTTTTTAATAACCGCCAACTGGGGCATCGGCGGACTGCCGATGAAATCGAATCGAATCCTCCTCTTTATGCCTGTTGTTGTCGAAATGCATAAAGCTTGTTACGTCCTTGTACGCTCACATCCTGACGGCAGGACACCGCAAACGGGGAAAAATTCAAGCGTGCAAATGTGCGCGAAATGAAAAGTTCGTTTGCGTTTATTGCACTGCCCGCCCAACAAAATGTTTTATTTGCCAGACAATAAACCATAAATGCAAAAACATGAAACACAATCCCACAAATCTGTGGAAAACAGATGGATCTCTTTACGAAAATAAACTGGAAACTCTTCTTTGTTGCGGGTAATTAGAGATTCGGCATTTAATGGGGCGTATTAAGTTTATTGGGGCATCTCAGGTTGCTTCTTCTCAGGAAAATGCAAACGCTGCCGCATTTCCGGTTTATGTTGGCAATTAACAGAACAATTTCAAGTCTCGAGTTTCCTTAAAAGCCAATTTCGATTTAATAGGCTTGTTTGCAAAAGTACTTTAAAATTAAATGCGGAAATAAAAAGTGAAGATACTGAAAATCCTGAAGAAGGGGTATGTATTTTCTATTTTAATATCTGACTTTCAATATTTGTAGCTTTGATTGATGATACACCTTTTGAATATTTCCTAGAAATGAAATCTTGCCAAATCCTTCCTGTAACTCTAACAACATCATCAAAGAAATGCTGGCAACATCAAGGCTTGTGGCTGGGTCCCCGATGTAAGCCAGAGACTCTAATGAGGGAAACTCATTTGGGTAAAAGCACAAAGCAGAGCATTTCGCCCATTAAGAGGCATAATAATAAATACTTATTGCCGTAGGAGTCATGGCAGGAGGGAAAGCGCAGTGGCGCAACATATTGTCGCCCAAAGACGACCGCCCCGCCCACCTACTATACACCCACATGGCCGCCCATTTTTCGCTCCTGCCGAGCACAGATGTGTGGCAGCAAATGCCGTAAAACAAATGTAAAGTGAAATTGCTTTCGCTGTTTCGCCGTTGTTTGCTCTACGCCCCGAAAAAAATAAAAAAAAAATTAGAATGAATTTCTGCCAGTGTGTTCCGGTTTATGCGTATCTGTGTGGGTGAGTGTGTCGACAGACGGATGCGGAAACGGATGTGAAAAGTGCAGTCATAAATGTGCCGCCGCCCTTTCTGTAAGACGTTAATAATTGCCGACCAAAGGCTCTGCGGCGTGGGGTGTGGCAGCTGAAAAATATGTGTGTGGCAGCTTTGTGGAGAAAGAGATGAAATTTTCAAATTCGCGCATTTTCTTTCCACTTTACGGTCTCATTCCTCGCTAGGGGTTTTCGGGCTTTCCGCGAGCGTGGCTTTGTAATTATGACAAATGTTAAAATATTGCATGTGTGCGTACATATTTGAGTCAGTGTTGCGGCTCCTGGGGGATTTCTGATTTTTTACTTTGCTTGCTTTGTTTTACGGCACAGTGCTAAATCCCACAGTAAACATAAAAATCCCCAAGAAAATCCACAATCCGTATGAAGAAAAAAACTAAACATTAAACCAAAATTTCAAGGGAAAAAATATACAAATTTTTTAAAAACATTGTTGCTTTGGGGGTCGATTTTGTTCTAGGTTTCTTTGGAATTTCCTGCCAGGCTTTAACTATTCTCTGAATTTGATGACCGGATATCAATTACCCGGATTTCATTGAATGAATTTCGAATTTCCCAGTTTAATGTTTCTGAATTTTGCTTCGATGGAAAACTTCGTCCACAGACGTATATATTTTAGCCTCGTCTGAATGGCTTCGAGTTGGCTTGTTGGAGTTGCAGGATAACTTGTTCACAGTTCAATATTTTCCAATTACATGCACGTATCCCTTGGCACTTGGCTTGTATGTTGTACCCCCCTCTTTTCCAACACACATACGCATATCCTGAATGTTTCTATGTGAGTGTGTGTGGCTTTGAGGATGTGTTTGTGAGCTCGGCATTGAAATACAAACTTTAAATTGAATTTTTGCGGTTTGTCATTGTTCACATCCGGTCTACCATCTACACGGGATTCCCTCCATTTTCCATTAGAGAGGCGCGACCTAAATTGATGCCTAATGTAGATGTTAAATAAAATTTAAATTATACTTAATATAGTAACCCTTTTTCTACATTCTCCATGGCTTCAAAATATTAAAAAAAAAAAAATGAATGTATGAGTACTGCTCTAATCTTTAAAGTCTAATAGTATTCCAAAACCTATAATTTTTTTTCAAATTTGGAAAACTCTGTTTCCGTTTCCATCTCTAATACCAAAGTCCCGCTTAAAAGCGGTCACTTTTGTTCGTGGAAATGCGTTTCTAATTCAATTTGCTGTCATCGGCGTAGAGAATACTCTGTGAGAAAAATCGCAAACGCCAGTTGAATTTTTGCAACGGACAAATATCGTATGGGCGTGTCATGTTTGCATTGCTTCCCCACCCACACCCAGGAGGCCACCACCAGCCCACCACCCACCGATGACTAACTTTTTGTGGTTTTGAAAATTATTTCACTGTAAGTGATATCTTTTAATTTGCGGAAATTGTACCACGAATTGTTGTCGCTGTCATGTGACATGGGGTAACATTTCAGGAGGAGGAGGTGGCAATAGAGAATCCTTTAAACGAAACCATTGGAATATGTACATTTTAAGCGGATTGGGTACGTGTTTCAAATAACGAATGGCTCTTGTTTGGCCTTGTAATGGCACTCCGGTAATGCGATTATCCGCATATCAGCGAAACAATAGAAATTTAATTTAAATTTCAGCTTAACTAATTAACTCTCCGATACACAAATAATGAGCATCGACAGGCATATCCTGCGGCTATCCTGTTCTGTTCTGTCCTTAAAACCCTGTTCGATTCAATTTGGATATACAGTCTGACTGCACCCGTGGGGATTTGTAAATTCGGGAAATGCGTATATTATATTTCGTAATAAAGTTTGCAACTTTCTGCATGCTCTTCCATGTGTAATTACTCCCCGAGTGAAACAGGCAAATTAGAAGGGATTACCAGACAATTTCCGAAAGGGTTTTTCGAGTGCTCTCCAGTAGCTAGCTAGAGTCGAAACTTTAAATTGGATAATCGGGCTGAAGCTTTTGTCAGTTTGGCAAGTATTTACCAAGTGCTTTGCACACATTAAGCTTCGTTTGTTATCAGTCGTCGTTTGGCTGACACTGCGTATGCGTAATTTTTGCACTCCCAAGACCCTATAACCCAGACTCCAGACAACCCCAGTGTTTACAGAGCAATTTGCATGTTAAGCCAACAATACCAAACCGGATTCCCGGCCCCGGGCCAACCATTTATGGAACGAGGTTACAACAACAACCGTGGTAGCAACCTGCAAATGGCCAAGATCAAGGCAAGACATTCCAGCAGATTATATTTAAATTAAACTGTACTCGTATATTGTTTCAAGAAAAACACAACTCAAGAGTTGCCACGACAACTGTTCTGGGGAGCTAGTCTTCTGAAAGATAATAATGTTCCAATAAGGAGCACCATACCAGCTCCACTCGCTTTATGTCTTCACCTTCGGTCTTCTGAAAGAGTTCTCCTTCAACATCAAATTGGCAGACATTGGAAATGCAAATGAAATTCGCGGAATTAAGGGGAGAAACAAGAAAAAGAAAAGTCCAACGGGCTTATTTCCACAATGATGCGGTGGCGTCCGGTACGTGTCCGCAATTCAGAGCTGTGAGAATTTGAATTTCAATTATTTTCGGTTCGTCAATCGTCATTTGAATGCGGCGGATGCGATGCCCCATGCTGAGGGGCCTAGCAAAGTCGATGCCATGGCAATTAAGGAGCATAATTAAGTGTATTCCAGGCCGGCGGAATCGAGGTTTATCACTGCCGTGTCGTGGCTCTTTCGGTCGGCGTTGTTGTGGCCGAGTTGATGTCAATTTAAATGCAAAAAGCCTTTTGAGCCAGTGCGAAGGATGCTGATGCCAGGCGAATTGTGCCAAACTGGCAGTTTCACTAATTGCGAGATGAGGTGCCCAAAAGCTAGGCTCCTGGACGAGTCAGCAATCCGACAAACAATACTAAGCCACTGGAAGAGCACTGAGAGAATTCTAAGGGCTAGTATCTCTAACTCAAATTATTAAAATAAACTATATTTTTTAAATAAATTTCTAAAAACTCAAATAATACTGGCTATCCACTGGCTATAAGCAATAAACTTCTATTTTACAAATTTAGTTTCCTGGTTTTTTTCTTGGTGTCCTGAAAAGTATGCTACGTTAGTTTTGCCAGGTTTGTAGCCCAAAACTGAATTAAATGGAAGGAACTGTGTCTGATTCTCTGAATAGTTGCCTTTTCTTTCGGCCACTTGACGTCGCATCTGGCGCTCAAATGGCCGAGGACCTGCCTTGTGGAATTTTGTAATTAAAACGACGAGGATTACATTAGCACGTACTCGCCAAGGGCACTTGTACAGGCGCACGCACATACCCAGGCACATGGGACAGCAACTAGTGGTCAGTGGTTAATTAAAACGAGTAGGGATGGGCCTCGGACTGGGTAGGGAATGGTGGAGCTACCCAAGCCTGGGCAAACAATTGGGATGCCAGGGTCCTGTCCGAAGGGTCAAAGTTGTTTTCTATATGAAATATTCGCATTGACAGCCAGTTGGCCGCAGGACACGGCAAACATGAACCGCACACTCTGCGCCAGGACGAGGGTAGGCCCGAAAAACAACACAAAAAAACAAAAAGAAATCCATGTAAGCTTTCACTTTGTAAATTTAGGAACGTTTGCACTTCAGCATAATCAAGTTTTTTTTTCACAAAATTCCATTAACATGAAAACAAAGTTTACCCAAGAATGGTCTTTCTGAGAAATAAGAATTGTTCTTTGTGGTCATAATAAAGTTTTATTTTGGAAGTTTAGCATGAATTGAATTGAAGTGAAGTTTGCTCTTGTTAGTTGATTTTTTAAATACTTCCTTCAAATTGCTTATACAAGTCTAGGGACTAAGAGACACCTATTTTCCAAACTACCCTCGCATTGCCGGCATCCCTTTTGGTCAAGTGTTGTTTTTGCATCGCTAACATTTATGGGTGTTTGGATAGGAGGAGTGGCAAGTGGGTAGGGAAAAGGTAAGCCGCTGCAACAGGGATGCACTTGTCCAGGACTCCACTTGTGTGTACACCAGGGCAACTGCTGTCCATCGGAGAGCGCACAAGTTTACCTTTCGGCAGAAGTTATCATCAGAAAGCTGGCATCCGACATGACATGCGATCTGGCGCTGAAAATACTGCATTTTCTGTCGTCCGGGAGATAAAAACGTCACTGCCGATGGCGGGAAATTGAAAATGCTATAATAACATACTCACTTTTGAGCCTTATTGAATAACCAACATTCACTAGCAAAATAGTGCCAGAGAAGTGCCTGACAAGTCCCTGACAGTGACATAAAAACGCCACAGGCTATGAACTATTTTGAAAACCTTTAAGGGAATTACTTTTGGGTTTTTGTGTAATCTTGGTAATTTCTTTTATAGCTTATATATTCAGATTCTATGGAACTGGTTTGGCTTGTGACTGTGTATGCTAATCATGACTAACTAACCAAACAATCAGAGATACATCCACGAAGCACGTGGCCTGTGGCACAGTTCATATTCTGTTTGTCTTGCGAGACATATACAAGGGTCGGGTTTCCCGCCACAGACTCTGTCTGTTGCAATTTAACGCGGCGACAACCATAATTAATTCGAGGAACACATTTGTCCCGGGGCCTCCTTAACTTCGATGTTGACATTGAGGCAATGACAGACAAGACAAGATAAACAGATAGAAGTTGGGGAATATGGGGCATAAATATTTTCATCACGACATCAAATATGGAAGCATACGAAAACATAAACATGAACTGCTAATAATTCATGGAAATCAAAGGAAAGCTATTCTCCTTTTTATATGTATTTATGCTTAAATAGTAATACTTTATTTGACTACCACTGATATACGGCCTTACACATGGCATTTTACCCAATATCGATCATCATTTATCTTGTCAAAACAATATGACACACAACGACGTCTTCAATTAATATACGTCACAGTGGTTTTAACGCCACTTGAGCCTATGTGACAGTGGTAAGGTTTTGGAAACTTGAAGGCTACTTAAGTGCTGGTAATTGAGGGAGGGTTACTTAAATAAACTTTTATAAATATACGTAAACTATAAATGAATGTGCCTTGTAACACGAATAAAATGTATAATTAATTATGAATTTTAATATTTAAATCCCAAGGACCAAAAAGGTTTTAAATACGCCTGTCTGTTTTTTTAAGCCAATAACCCACATGGCGTATGGGTGATTTTCTTCTATGAATATGAAATAATAGATGATTTTATAGATAAGTAAATCATGGTCATGGAACAACTTTACCTATGAGTAATTTCTTATAGATTCTAAAGACTACCTTTTTCTAAAAAAACCAACTTGGCGTATGAGTAATTTTTGTATTTAATTATAATTATATAATAACTATTTTTGAACTAAAAAAAAGGAAAGAACACATAAATGTATTTATATGTATAAGTAATTCTTACATGTATAAAAATTAAATACTTTATAAAAATTAAACAAAAAAAAAAACAAATTGACAATTTTTCTTCCATTTTTTCCGCCTGCGTAAGCCATGTCCTTTCGGAAGGAGCGTGAATGCGAATTGCGCCTGGCGATAAGTAGATGTGACTGCCAGTATGTGTGTGTGTGTGGGGCATGTGTGGTCTTGAAGCTTTTGTAAGTTTAAGTGGTAGATATTATTCAAAAGGAATTAAGACCGAACTGAAAAGCCTGTCGACGGCGACTGCAACAACAAGGCTATGAGAAAAAGAGAAAAGTGGGAAAGTGGCTGAGAGGGATGTGCTGTGGGGTTCTGCCAACCGCAGGACGAATGCTTTTAATAAATATGAATGCTCTCTGCATATGTGAGATACGTACATACATGGCTATGGGTGTTTAAGTGGTATGGTTGTATGTGTTTACCTTTTGTCTGTCTGTTTGAAAGGCAAATGTCGAAGGAAATGAGCAACAACTGCCAGAGGCCACAAGGATCAAAATAACTTTATTGCCAACTAGTTGAATAATTTTGTAAACAAAAATGAAAGAATTTAAACAAAGTCTGTTACAAAAATGTTGAGCCAAGATTCTTGCATATTTTTTTGATCACCAATAAAATTATTTCTCCGAGTGCTTGTCTAGTTTTCGGAGACAAGTTGGAACAAAACTGCAAGGATGTGCGCTTAAATAACGAAGCCAAGTGTCAACAGGATAACTTCATTCTGGCGCGGTGCGGGGTGCCACCAAATGCGATTGTGGAGGATGCGGATGCAGCCACCAGGCAAAGCCAATTTAAGGACAAACAGCAGAAACTTTGCCTATGGCAGGGAACTCGCAGTGCTCTCCCATCTCTGTGGGGGTTGAAGGATAGAGGTCGGGTCGTGCGGTTCCTGGCGTGGCCACATATTCGCCTCAGTGCGTGCTAAATGAGTTTAGATTGCAGCACATAAATTACCATGACCCCGGCGAAGAGACAAACATAGCAGTTGGCCCCGAGTCATCGGCATAGACATGGACAGATACGAATAGGATTACAAAGCCAGCGACAGATACAAATGCAGATGCAGATACAGATACAGATGTAGATACAGATGCAGATGCAGAGGGATGTGATTAAAAGGAACCAAAAGACAGGTTGTTCAGCAAATTAATCCCCAATGCACAATGGGTATGTTGACTAAAATATCTCAATTTAAAAAATGATAATCAAAAATTCATCACAAAGTTAGTTTATTCGATTCAGTTTTAATATAATCTACTTATCATCCATCGAATAATTTGATTTGATTCATGCAACATAATCAAAAGTATAAACAGAGTATCAGTCCATAATTGTTTCCATTTATATTCAGCAATTTATGGCAGCAATTTGTTTAATTT